ATATATATATATATATATTATAATATATATATATATATATGTATGTATGTATATGTATATATGTATATATATATGTATATATATATATATATATATATATATACAAATATATATAATAATAATAATAAATACATCACACAGCAATTCATAGGCTTTTTATGTGCATCCTGAGTATGTGGTTGCGAATAACCTTGCATAGCTAAACGCTAGTAGTTGCACCGTCACAAGTTATTGGTAGATTTCTTTGTTTTTTTTTCGAATCTGCGCTGTTCTACGTCCTAGTTGCCTAGGTGACTGCGAATAGCTGTTCATTTCTTCTTGATTGAGTTCGGCAATTGTTCTGGCCTTAATGTCTTGTAGTTTGATTCAAACAGACAAAATCACGTTACTAATGTTTATATGGCTGGGTCTGGGGTTGCATTTTTACTTCACGCTGTCCGGTTTGTCCGAGTTGGTTGTCTTACTGTCCCCTCGTCTGATTATTCATTTAAATTATTATGCACAGATTGACGTCTTTGCTATTCATGTGGGTGGGTATGGCATTGCACTACTTCCCCTTCTTCTTGATGGAGAGGCAACTATTCTTCCACCACTATCTACCGGCCCATTACTTCATGATTCTCGCCGTGGCGGGTATGTCGTTCTACCGCTTTGTTTGCTTTTTTTCATCAGAAGGAGAATTATATGATGCATGAGTATAATTGAGCCCGCTTGCAAATGAACGTCCCATATTATGAGGCCCATTACTGATTGACCCTCGCTGTTGAAGATACATAAATAAGCTTTGCTTGTTTCTGTAGATTGCGGGTACATAATTGAGCGGCGACCAAGGGATTCCATGAGTAACAAACAGTATATTAGAGCGATTAGTCTGAAATTTCTGGGCAAGTGCGTATGGCTTTTCCTACCTGCATTATGTATTTGTCTACACATCTATATTTTCTTTCTCACGCACCAATGCAGGTTTTACAGATGAGGTGCTCAAAATCGAGGTAGTGAGCCGCCACAGGCGTGCGCTGTTGGGAGGGCTTTGTTTAGTGGTCTTCTGGGGCTTCTGCAAGTTTGCACATTTGTCGTACGCCTATCCCATTGACTATGCTTACTCGGAGAGTGTGCGTTGGAGGAGTACGTGGGACATGATGCGCATGGAAGACCCTTCTAAACCCCTGGAATAGATTGCATTTCGGGTTGTTTATGGAAAATTTACTTTCATATATGTAGAGATTTAAATATATATACGTTGTAGTCTAGTATGTCGATATGTATGGTAATTAGCTGCTAGCCGTTGCGAATAAACAGCTGCAGAATCGATGAACGATCTTATACTCAAATCATACATACAGGCTCGGTGGTCGTGTAAGGTCAACCGGATCGAGTCTAGCCTTTTCAGTCGAAGCTTTACCTCCGTCCGTCGTTGACGATATAGTGAGCTCTACAACCGACACGCATTGTCCTGTCATGGGAACCACCAAACATACAGTATACATGCAATATACACAAGCACAACAATAGGATTAAGTTGTCCCTGTCAATTCACTTCAATAGATACAACCAGATAGGGGTTTGCTCCTATTTCCAAGACAGCCCGTGCGCCTTTGCCAACGGCCAATCGGCAGACTAAACTTCTACAAGCTATAGAGCTGCAGAATTATAAACCGCACTTACGGCTAATATGGTGAAAATTACTACTTTTTATAGAAATGTAACAAACAGTCAATATTTGTCACCAGCCACCACTTGTGACTTGTCCACTTGCAGAGGTCAGCCTATACCGCCCTGCATCACCACTCAGGAAAGTATTTACTATTCAGCAAGGCGGAACTGAAGACTGCAGGTCCGCACATGTACGGCCTATGTATTTTAAAAGTACTCAATATTGTGTACAGAAAGTCAGCAACAGGGGGGACTGCGAGTGCATTGTGTGGACCTATGTACTTTAAAAGTGTTAAATAGTTTGTATAGTAAGTCAGTAACGGGGGGGACTGCGAGTACACCGTGTAGGCCTATGAATTTTAAACGTGTTAGATAGTTTGTACAGTAAGTCAGTAACGGGGAGGACTGCGAGTACACCGTGTAGGCCTATGAATTTTAAACGTGTTAGATAATTTGTACAGTAAGTCAGCAATAAATATGTATTTTATAAGTGTTAAATAGTTTGTAAAGTCAGTAACAGAGGGAACTGCGAGTGCACTGTGCGGACTACAACATGCAGGGGCTAAAGGGCTAGTTGGCAACAAAGCACGGGTTGATGAGAATATAAAAATAACACAAAAAAGCAAACGAATACAAGCCGAGTGAATTCACTGTTCACTGTTCAATGCCAACTAATTGCCAAGTGCACTAAGCACTGAGTACTCTGCTCGCTGCAGTGGGCTGAGTCACTGCTAAGGCAGCGGAATGTTTGTAGTTTTTTTTCTTCAAATTTTTTTTTAGGTCCATTTTGACTTTTTTTCTTCTTATATTGGTATAATGTCTTTTAAAAAAAAATTACAAAGGCTGTATGTATTTTGTTTAGTTATTGATGTTTAAAAAACAAACAAACAATTAGATGTTTGCCCATTGCTATATGTAAATATGTAATTATGTCCATATGCAATTATGCATATGCCATTTTTGTTACTTACGTACCCTCGAAAAGAGTAAGGAAGAGTCAGATTACTATTTGATGTAAGACATAAGGAAAGGTGACCTCAGAAGTCACGGCCCTTCGGATTTGAGGGTCGCGAACAGAAATCAGGTTTCTTCCGACGACAAATCGTAAATTTAGCAGAGACCCTAATCTAGATTCTAGAGAGGAACATGCAGAAGTGACAACTTTGAGAACGACACCGTGCCCAAAAACCGAAAACTACTGCACAACCATATCATCCATTTGGTGGCCGGTTGACAACCCTATCAGGCTATCTAGGCCAATGGGTAGTCAAAGAGATAGACTTCCAAAGAAGGAAAATGGTTGGTGCTTACCAAACTAAAGGAGCATTAGAGTAATAAGATTGGTTAGAAGTTATGTAAATAAAAAAAGCCAGCACATGAATGACTGAAGTATTTATGTATACATAATTATTTATATTAAACTATAAAGTCATAGTCATTAAAAGTCATATATAAACACATCTTATTTATCATACTGATAACTGAAGTCTGAAGTCTGAACTATATAAATATAATAAAAATGTCTAATTAGAGGGCTATGATACAGAGGTTTTTTAGTGTCGGAGTAATCAACATACTTCTATTTTCCTATAAACGGCTTAGTACATCCTGACTACATATGAAACAGTAATGTCTGATTTGAGAAGGCGATGAAATATGAAATATTCAATATTGTAATGTAAAGTTAAAGTGTAGTAGTACTCCCCAGTAGTGTGCTGTGATAATAATATGGAGTACGAATACTATTTACTTATAAGGAATCTGAAAAAGAATACAAAAGTAAACATTTCATACATAATCTATTCCGATCGGTATCTGAATATTCTATTTATCAATTTATACTTACAAATACTGTATACAACTACATATCAACTCCGGGTCTCCGGTCATTTCTAACTATGAGCTACCAAAAAGTGTCGATAAATACCAACTTATCAATTTTTGGAATCTCAAGCGCACCCAAAACAATATCTACAGCTAGGAGGCCCACTGGTTAATCGCATGGCCTATATGCTGCTAGCTTTTAGTTCTCCCAAATTATTAGGTTGGTGCCAGACAATAATATTTTGAGTAGGTGAATCTCCACAAGAACTACCACAAGTCCACAACAATACCACCATGATCATGATCAAATCTTTGTTCGCACGCTTTGTCATAGCGTTCTGTACTATCGCAGGCTTCACAAGAATATACGACCGCATACCTCAAGCAGAGCCAGTTACATTCTATATTAATGAGTACGATGTCTCCGCTCCACAACGTTTGTATACTGAACACCCGCAGAATATTGTTCTCGTTAACAGTAGGCGTGACAACTTTAAGCACCGAGCCCTTATCCGCCACACATGGGGTGTCCGTGCGGACTTACTCTTATTTTACGTTGCTGCCCAATCTCTAGAAGAAGATGAGCAAATCGCCACCGAGTTCCGCATACACCAGGACCTTATAGTAATGCATAGTCCAGACGACTATAGGCTATTGACCGATAAGCTCATCGCCGGGCTGGGAGCTATTGATCACTTCAACTTGGATTTCGAACGTATTCTGCGCACCGACGACGATGTGTACGTTGACCTCCCACAACTCTGGCACGACGCAACGGGCGATTACTGGGGTCACTGTCTGACCGGAGCAATACTAGAACGCCGCTCCGACAGCAAGTTTTATACATCGTACGAAAACGAACCCGAAGACAAGATACCCACTATTGTCTCTGGATCGACCATCACTCTAACACACCAGGCATTCAAAAGATTGGTAACTTATCTGACGAAGCATCACACGGGTGTCTGGAATGATGACAATGCTGTAGCATACGCTATGCACCGTATGCATATCAATGCCGCCTGTGCCGCGAATTTGTGTATGCACGGCTGTGCAGGGAATTTCAACTCACCTCTGGTGCACCATCTTACGGCACAACAATTATTGATTCAGCATCAAGTTCGAAGCGATGGTCAACAAACCGCAAATCTATAATTTACAGTATAAAATTAAATAAAGATCTATATCCCAGTCAGCCTTCGCAGCGGTAGTTATTTATTTAATCTCAACTTTACGGCTCAAGTACAAAATACTTCCGCTGAGCTTCACAAAGTACATTCAACAAGGCAGGCTCCAATACGTGCCGTAGAAAGATGAGAAATTCTATATCGTAGCAGTAAGCGCGGCAAAGTCTTAAAGACAGCGTGTATGTGACAAGTCGGATAGGAGCACAATGCTATCTCGAAAAATCTCAAAAATCCTAAATGGAGGTAGCCTTAAACACGTGCGTTAAGAGTCTAGTCCTGAGCATAAACTATCTGCACGTATGATTGTTTTTCACTGCCGCGGATACCCGCGTGGCATATCAACCCTCACCTACAGTATAATATATATTCTCTGTTCTGAATGTAGTGCGTTTATCACTTCCGGATTATAACTGGTCCCATATACAATTGCGGCGCTGTGACTTTGTGCTTTATCATTTACGAAAGAATTCCATTGCACATTCGATATTTCGACCTGCAACGAACAAAAATGCTAAAAGGTTGTTCATGAACTAAAGAATAGTACATGCACCGTTGAGCAACTTTAGTTTTGACCTATTTCATGGCCGTTTACATAATAGCGATGATATGATAATTGTTTCCATCGAACACAGCTAAGTCTCAACTTGGAAACAATTATTATCATCACCTATCAAATGACGCAATTGCATGCCTTTTAAAAACGGATATATATCCATATAAATATATATATATATATATATATATATATATATATACAACCACACACACACACAACACACACACACACACACACATATATATATATATATATATTACTTATATTATATACA